ATAGTACGATAACTAATGTTTAAAATTGCTCTAACAAAAATACCAAATGATTTCTTAGTTGTATGTAACTATCATTTGAATGAAAAGTTTTTTGAGATAGGGCGTTTTCGAACTGGCTGCCGAGAGTGGTGGTCGATCTTCCACTCGGCAGTGTTACATTAAAGATAGGAATTTGAAAAATGTATTTACTCATTTTCGACATTCAGTATGCAGCAACTGTTCTATTTGGAGGCAACTTTTCTTTCGTAATCACCAGCTTATTTTCATTTCTTTCAGGCAACGTTGTGGCCTTAATTGCGCAATTTCCGTAGCCACTTCACTTATCGGCGCGCTACGCATGGAGGAGAAGCTAGTGAATGTTATTTGCGCAGTGCTTTGCACACCGATTGAGGATTGGACAGAACTGGTAAGATGCACTCACAACACAAACATCGTTTTCAATCCCAATTGTCCCACTCATTCACTATTTTTTTTTTGTCTTACACAGAGTTGGGAGGAATCAATGTCGCCGGGCATTGATATGCTCTACCATTACGGTCCCTTAAATCGCGTGAAGAACAATGAAGGCATAAATGCGATTGAAACAAATGTGACGCACGCAAATTTTGACTACAGTCGATTTAGACGTCATATGCTCTCCATATTCGAACGCATACAACGGGTGGCGGCTACAACAGAGCTAACAGCTGAAGAATTAACTGCAGCCAAGGCGGATGAACCAAAACTTGAGAAAGAAAGAGAAGTTGATATAAGTGGACTTAGTGAACTGCTTGAAGTAATGCCCAGCGAACAGCGATCCAACTTTGCCAAATCACGTTTGGTCAGACGTAGCACATTGGAGGCGGTGGAAGACGACGATGAGGAAGAGTGTGATGAAGATGATTTGCGCAAAGTTGGCTATAGAAAAGAGTATGGCAGTCAACAGAATAAGACGGGCGAGAATTCTGAATGGGTGAATGAAAATTACGAGTTACCCACGTCGGAAGAGCTATTCAGTGATTTGGGTATTTGGTGGTAGAGGTTGAA